TTTTTTTTCGGTACCGGGCATTGAACTCAGAACCCTGCGCTTGCCAGGCAAGCACTTATTCTACTGAGCTATCTCCCTGGTCCTAGAAATCATACTTTGGATTTCATTTTTTGCTCCATGCTAGTGCTTGTTAGGCCCAAGACACTGGTGCCCAGCAGCATGAGGAGCAGTGCTCAACCAACCACAAGATAACACGGGGAAACAACCAAAACTCTGTGGGGTACGTGTTCCCCAGTGCCAGGCAGTGTTTGGCAGATGAGGTGGATCAAAGCATTTCAGACTTGTGATGCAGTTACCTAGATATCACACATCAGAGGAAGCTCAACCCACTTTCTTCCAAGCCCCTCCAGCCCAGTCAGATGTCTCCCTTGGCCTCCCCTCACGCACCCCTTGCTCCTCCCCAGCCCCACCCCTACCCCCGCAGCCATTCCCCTCAGCTCCACAGCCTCCCAGTCCTATCCTACCTCTCTCAGCAGATAGTCCCCTCCCAGCAAGTCCCAGCTCAGTAACAGCTACTCCTGACACAGGAGTGCGACATGGTCCAGTCCATTTTAATTGTTGGGGAGACAGGCAGGGGCCTTGGGGGCTATGACCCCCAACTTCAGACCCCGGAACAGTTCATTGCTGGGATTTGCGGAGGACAGTGCGTGGGCCGGGCACCAGGCTCAGAGGACGCTGATGCGCTCAGCCAGGCCCTGCATCTCGTGGTCCTGCGGCAAACGGGCCCCAGCAAGCTCCCCGTGGGTGGGCAGCGGATGCTCTGCCAGGAACTGCTCCCAGCGCGTATCGTCACTCTCGTGCGTGATGTACCGCTCGCCCATCTTCCCTTCCAGCTCTCGGAGGTCCAGCCACGTCTGGTACTCCTGGGCCGGGAAAACTGCAGTTAGCTGAGGGGCTGCACAGAGGGTAGACACTAGGGGCCAGAGAAGCATGGATCTGTCCTGTTCTGCTCTGCCAATAAACTGCCAGGGACCAAGGAAGACGAAGCCACACCCTTTGCAACCTGTCCAGCCAGTAAGATAACTAGCCCCACCCCCTTTCATGTACCAGCCAGTGGGAGGCTCTACTATGTTTCCCATCCAAGGAACCTCTTAATTGGTTGCTCAGTAATAGATCGAACTCCCTTTTTCCTCCTGCCTATTGGCTAGCCCCACCCTGTCACCTGTAACCAGGGATGGCTGAGAGACTTGTCCACACTATATCGCTTGCGCATCTTGACTTGTAGCAGGTTGTTGATGAGGTCAATGGCTGCAAAGGAGAGAAGAGAGACAGTTCAAATCCTTCTGGATGAGCGGCTGCCTCTCTTCCAGCAGGCCACGCAGCCCACTGCTTGCCCTCAAGGCCTGTCTCTGCACTAGCCGAGGAGGTACGGTTGGTCTGCACTGTGCCACATGCCTGCCTGCTGATTTTCTCACAAAATTGCTAATTTGTTTCCATGTAATCATACTAGTTTCTATTCTCTTACAGATTCTCTATTTCAGGCTCCCCATTCCTCTATTTTTATTTATTTATTATTACTTTTGTTTTTGTGGCCAGCATTGAAGGATGGTCCCTGCATTTGCCTAAGCTTGCCTACACAGTCATTTTAGACCACTAAGCTATCTCACCTGCCCCTCCCCCATTCCTATATTACCTTCACATCTCCCCACCCTGTACTGGTGACTGAACCCAGAGCCTTTACACTGGGCCATTTTGCACTGGCCATGTCCCCACGTCCCCCTGGCTTTCTCTTCTTTCTTTCTTTTCTTTTTTTCTTTTTTTTTTTTAGACAAGGTCTCGCTATGCAATTCAGGCTGGCCTTGAACTCACTTTGCAGGTCAGGTTGGTCTCAAACTTGCAAGACCCTCCTGCCTCAGCCATCCAAGTACTGGGTTAGGGGTGTGTGTGACCGCACCCAGCTCCTTTTCTTTTCTCTTTCTCTCTCTCTCAGCACTAAGTGTCTAAGTTACTCAGGTTAGGCTTGAACTTGCAGTCCTCTGGCCTTAGTCTCTCAGAGTTCTCAGATTACAACCACACCCAGCTCACTTTGCAGTTCTGGTCACACACAAGCACATACAAGCATACAGGTACACCTGTACTATCCTTCATTTGATATTTTTAAGCCAAGTCATTTGTATCCAAGATTTACTGTTAAGTGCACAAATTGAAGATCAGCATGCATAGTGTGCTGCCAAAGAGGGAAATAAAAGAACACACAGAATATATTCTATAGATTATGCAGAATATATTATATATAAACATATGTCATATGTATTACATATGAAATAGAATTGTAGAATGAATTCCTAAATATCTGCAATCTGAAGGTAGCTGTGAATGGGGACCTGTAGGTATAGAGGGTGACTAGCGCTTGTGCACACAGCCACCCTGCCTCGGCCAACCCTCAGGCACCACATACCCAAGCCATAAACGCTCACTTCCACTCGATATGCACACTCAAATGCACTTCTACGGAGAAAATTCCAATAGGCAGTCCTGAAGATACCAAACAATGTTCCAGGACGCTGCTGGCTGAACACACTCTCCTCCCTGAGCACTAAGCCCCACCCCCACCCCCACCTGCTCCACAAAGCCACACCTCACTAGGCCCTTTCCCCGCCCATTGCACAGACTATTCTTCAAGCTCCTCCTCAGACGATATCCTGGGCCTTGGACATCCTCCACCACTACCAAGTGGTGAGCCCTGTGAAGATCTGTCTCTTCTCTGGGCCACCTCAGAGTTCTGGTTTCCTTAGGGCCAGTCCTTGAGTCCTACCCTAGTGGCTGAACTCCCACCCAGCCCCTGGGCTCCAGATGTCTGAACACCTCTGTGCCACTTCCTTTCCAACCCTGACAACCTGGTCCAGAGCTGAGCATCCAATCCCAGCCCGCCCCTCCATGGCCCCGCCCACCACCAGGCCCCACCCCCATCGTGGCCCCGCCCATAGCAGCTGACCTCCAGTAGAGATGTGGCTCCAGGGGCTGGCCGGGTACATGAAGGCTGCGTTCTGGATCTGGTCGCTGATGTCCTCGTCCTCGTTGAAGGGGAATGTGCCGCTGAGGCTGACGTACATGATCACGCCCACCGACCACATATCCAGAGTGCGGTTGTATCCCTGGTTGAGCAGCACCTCGGGGGCCAGGTAGGCAGGGGTGCCCACCACAGAGCGCCGGAATGACTTCTCGCCGATGATGCGTGCGAAACCAAAGTCGCACAGTTTCACCTGCCCAGGATGGGAGCAGAGGGTCTGAGGGGTGAGGAAGCTATGCACCCCGAATGGTGGGTCCATTCTAAGCTCCTCGGCTCACTAGCTGAGTGAGTGATCCAGTCATGAGAATTTCCCTCTCTATGCCTCAGTTTCCTCATCCACCAGGAGGAACATAACAGCACATGTATCAAAGGGCTGTCATTTCGGGAGGCTGAGGCAGGGGGATGGCCCAGGGTTCAAGCTTGAGGCCAACTCCGGCTACACAGCAGGTTCAAGGCCAACATAAAACTACAAATCAAGACTCTTGTCTCAAACGAAAAGCCATCATCATAAAGACTACAACTGAATCCAGCTCCAGTTTGCAGGGGATGCTCGATAGAAGTTCCTTGTTGCTATTCCTCAGCTACTGCCTCTGAGGCCCTGTAGGCACCATGGAGGTCTGAACTGTCTCCACCTTTGAGGGTGCTTGGAAAGTGGGAGCCGTGGCGTAGGTCTCTGGAGGGGGACCTAGCTCCCTCATGCCTCGGTTTTTCATTTGAACTGTTTACTACAGTGGCCTCTGGCCACAGGTGGTAGCAAGTGCTTAAAAGATGCCAAATGGGGCTGCAGAACTGATTTTGTATTTAATTTTAATTGGGTCATCAATTCAGTTATTGGAAAATTTTAAAATATGAGTGAATAACTGGGATAGAACAACCTATTTTTCCAGTCTTATGAAGTTTAAATGCAAACCAAGTATTTCTGTATTCTTTTTTCTTGAAGGGCTAGAGATCAAACTCAGGGCCTTGCACATAAGCAAGTTCTCTACCTGAGGTACATAACTAGGTTTTTTTTTTTTTTTTTTTGGTAGAACCGGGGACTGAACTCAGGCCCTTGCGCTTGCCAGTAGAGCGCTTATTCCACTTTTTTTTTTTTTTTTTTTTGGTAGAACCGGGGACTGAACTCAGGCCCTTGCGCTTGCCAGTAGAGCGCTTATTCCACTGAGCCATCTCCCTGGCCCCATAACTAGTTTTTTTTTTTTTTTGGCGGGACTGGGGATTAAACTCAGATCCTTGCGTTTGCCAGTCAAGTGCTTATCCTACTGAGCCACCTCCCCAGCCCCCAACCCCATAACTAGCTCTTAAATCAAGTGTATTTCCAAGCTGGTGAGAAAGCTCAACAGACTAAGTGCCTGCTTTGGCAAGCACAGGGACCAGGGTTTGATACTTGGTCCCCCAGTGCCAGCCCCACCCATGGGGCCAGCTGAGCTGCAACCAAGTCCAGGCATGATGGCACACGCCTGTAATCCCGGCACTGGGGAAACTGAAAACAGGAGAATCAGTATGAGCCCAGCTGCATAGTGAAACCCTGTACCAAATATATAAAATGAAGGGAAAAAAATCAAGTGTATTTCCAAACAAAATTTATCATTGCAATGGAGGTTTGCTGTAAGTGGAAAATACATACCAGATTTGGAGGACTTAATACAATGTCAAATATCTCATTTAGATTTCACATTGATTTCCTATTTAAAAAATGTGCTGGCAAAGAACAACTAAAGAATTTCATGGTGACAAAGCCAAGCCTACACAGACTACTAAATGAGGTTCTAGAGAGGGAGCAAA